TTTGCTGTGCTTTTAGTGTCAATTTTCATGCCTAAATTAACCCATCACTTTGAAACTTTTGAAGGCACAGACCAAAGTGAGGAAGAAGGTCATGGGCGTTTTGGATATTTACGGCTTTGAAATTTTTGAGGTAAGCTTTTTTTCTATTTCTTGTATTATCTTTGTTCATTTTGAACAGTTGGGAATTAACTCTTCCATAGACAATGTGTATATAATTAATGTAACTTCGAATCAACAAATGACCTCTGTGCAGATATGACAGAACATGTGTGTGTTTGGATGTGTTTTGCGTGCAAAGAGAGGCATTTTGGAGACACTGCTGTGTGTAACAGAACCTCCTGTATTAGCACCTGACTTTTGAAATGGCAAATGCAGAATTCTTACCGGGAAATTTCCAACAAGGTGTGTGGACGTGACGCCCGAGGGCTTTCATTTATTTGTAAGTGGTTTGGAAAGTGAGGCAGGACGGTGCCGTGAGAAAGTCAGGAAGGAAGGACGCCTGAGTGCTGGCCACGCCCAGCAGCGCCGGTCACTTCGTCTCTGTGGGACCCACCCGGGGGCTGGGTCAGAGGGTTTAGTGGGTCTCACCGGCTGTGATCTTAGAGGACGAATTCCGGGGGAAGGACGAGTGCTCCCTCTGCAGGGAGCTCGCCGCTGGGCCCTGCGCATGAGGGTCTTCTGCCGGCTGAGGACACAGCTGTCTGCTAGGAGAGTCTGTCCCGGAGCTGATTCTTTTGTTTTAAATCCTCACCTGAGGATATGTCTTGTTTGTTTTTATTGATTTGAGAGAGGAAGGAAGACACACGCACGCACACGCGCACACACAGACATCCATGTAAAGAGAAGCATCAATCGGTTGCCTCCTGTACCTGTCTGACCGGGGACTGAACCCACAACCGTTTGGTGTAAGGAACAATGAATGCTCCGACCCACTGAGCCCCGGCCAGGGCTGGTCCCTTTTCCAAAGCGTGTTTGCTGCAGGCCTATCCGAACAGAACTCGGATGTTCCGGGCGGAAACATCCTGGGACTTGGCTCTGGGTGGGATGCCCGTCAGCGATCCAAGAATATTCTCCCCTATGGCTCATTCCCGTTTCTCTCCAAGCCTGTCTTCCCGCCCGCGCTTCCATCGGCCTTTCTCCCAGCGCTGGGACACTGTGGGCTGGCGCTGATGGAGGTGCCTGCACACGTTTCTGAACGTCTTCCTTCCTTCAGCGGGTGCCCCGGTCCAGTAGTTCAGACCTGGCTGCACGCTGGGGTCACTGGGGAGCTTCTGGAAAGTGAGGTATCTGGGCTGCACCCCAACCAGTTGTTCAGAATCACAGGGTGTGGGCCCCGCAGCAGAATGTGCAGCGCCCGGGCGATCCCAGGGTGCGGAGCGGGGGCAGCTGCCCCATAAACAGGACTCTCCAGCGTGAACTGTGAGTTCCTGGCTGCGTGCTGGTCTTCTGTGCAGCCTCTGCATGAAATTCCCTTGGAAAACACCCAGCCCACCTACAGTCCATCTCACCTCACCCTCATCTGCATATAGACCATAGTCCTCACCGCAAACAGGTGACAGTTCTGCTCTTTAAAACAGGAGGCCCAGGGGGTCGAGCGCCTGGAAGCCAGGTCACGGGGCCGTGGCTGCGGGTGTGGCTTCGGGAGGAGGGCGCAGAGCCCTTCAGCAGTGAACCAGGACATGCCTGTGATGTTGTCCAGGCCAAAGCCAACCAACTGGTCGCATGTCTGTAGCGAGTCTCTTCGTGGCCATAGTTGTTGGGAGCTAACGTTCCTTCTCCTGGCAGCACGGGACTGGATTCCCCCAGTCCTTGGAGAGAAGTAACATCTAGTCTTCATGATAATTCCTTGTTCCCTCCATTCGCCTGTCTAAATCTTCTCAGAGCCATCTTCCAAACATCTTGATTTTAACAACGTCATTATTTTGCAAATAGATTTAGTTTGGGGAAGTCAGAATAAAGATTTGGTTGGGCATTTTCACGTGCCCTTGGGGTCAGAATTAGCAAGTCTTTTTCCTTCTAGTATATAGTACCCCCCTCCCCATGCCACCCCCCGCTGTGCTGGCTTCTCTAAAAACGGAACCCGTGAAGGTCAGGAGGCCCAGGGGGTCGAGCGCCTGGAAGCCAGGTCACGGGGCCGTGGCTGCGGGTGTGGCTTCGGGAGGAGGGCGCAGAGCCCTTCAGCGGTGAACCTGGACATGCCTGTGATGTTGTCTACACGCGTGGAAATCACCTGAGTGCAGAGAGAAGCCCGTCTTCGTCCCGTGGACGCCGACTGCAGGAGCGAGAGGGAGTGTGCTTAGAACACCCTGGGCCTCACTTTACACGAAGGGCCAGTAAAGGCCCCAAGGTTTCTGTTTCGAATCCTGCCTCGTGACCCCCCTGACCGTCCCCGTGAGCTGGCGGAAACCTGGCGTGCACGCGGGGCTTCCCTGAACAGGAGCCGGACTCTGATGCACGGAAGCCGAGGGTGCTGACACGCGGGCTGGTGGCCGCGTTCCCGGCGCGGGAGGCGCGCTGAGGCCGCATGGACCGGCCGTCAGCCTGGGACCCAGAGCAGCGGAGCGTGGATGCCGGGCGTCGGGCGAAGGGAACTGAAACTCGCCGAGGAGGGAAGCCCAGCTGCACATCCCGGGAGAACAGAGGTCGGTTTTGTGAAGGAAGAAGGTTATAATCCAGCCGCTCCAGTTCTCCCCAGCTCGGTGCGGATGTTCTTAGAACCGGAGACTTGGCCTTTGGTCCGGGAGGAATAGTCGGGGCATCTCTCTCTCTCTAAAATAATAAGTGCCTCCCTTAGGAGAATGAAATGAAACTCAGAGCAGCGCTGACCATCTCACTCGATTCAGCTCTTCCCTGAGTCCTTGTCTGGCGGGTCTTGGAATGGACAGGGGTTTCACGGGGAAGTTAATTAGTTGTTCCTGTCCTGGGGCCTAGCGCAGGCCATCGGGGCGGCACTGGCCACTTTTCACCCTGGAGCTAGCTTTGGGCGGGGGGAGCGGGGGCTGGTCGTTTTGCGTCGGGCATTCCTTTTCCATTTCTCTCCCCAGAACACAATCTAGGAGTTGGGCGACCGTCGGCGTAGCCTGGTCAGCTCGTCTTGCGATTCTAGGATTTCTTTTCTGAACTGTTGTAAAAAGGGAAGTGATTCTAGGTACAGGCAGCATCTCCTGTTCCAGGTTCCATCATTATTCTTGCCTCACATTTTAAAGCAAAGCCTGTTCTAAAATATTTAAGGAGAGCACTGTAGCGTGTGTTTTGTTCTGTGCTTTTTTTTTTCATCCTCACCAAGGATGTTTATTGATTTAAAGAAAAAAAATTTTTTTTGAGAGGGAGTGAGAGAAACATTGGTTGCCTCCTGTCCATGCCCTGACCAAGGACCGAACCCACAGCCTTTGGGTGTACGGGACGGTGCTACAGCCGGCCGAGCCACCAGCCCAGGCTATAAAACTGTTTTTCCTAAAATTTGCCACATTTGAGTATGTACCTGGAAGAACAATGTTATATGATAATTAAAGGGAAGTTTTCTACAAGTTTAGCCAGTCATTTAATTGTGTAGATGTCTAAAAAGAACAATACTTATTGTGAAATGTTTTTCTCTTATTTTGAGGACTTTTTTAAAAAAAATTTACTTTTTATAAAAAGCAGCTCTTGATGTAGGGCCTATTGCTTGACATTGAGATTTTAAAAAATGGATTAAGCACAGTACATTTTTTCGAGGAACATTATCATGACTGGGGACTGCCCCAAGGTTTTGCACCAAGTAGACTTTGCTCGGACCAACAGCACA